TTCAGGATATACATACGATGTGTTTATGAAAGTGTGCTCATTAGCTTCTGTACATACAGATCAACCCAAATATATAGGTGTTTGTATGAGTATTATCCCATTTCACTTTTCCTCTCACGGGTACGAATATCTTTTTTATTTATCCTACAGTTATTTAATAAGCACAATTAATGTTCTGGCACACCACAAATAATTACACATCTATTCTATTTTCGTTGAACATTCATCACAGACAATGGTCATATAGTCTCGAATATCAAAGTTGGTTACCTGTATAGCATCAAATTCACATATATCAATGTATCCAACTCTGAAACGTGTATGTTGTTTGGTGACCTTAGGTTTTAGTTTCCAACAAAATTGGTGATCATCCATTTTCCCCATCTAGAGTTTTGCCATTTACCCAGTTCATGTACTTTTGTTTTCAAGCGGCTTTAGATTTTTGTTGGTATGTAAGACATATCTATGTTTTGTTGACCATAGATGGATTGATTATGGATTCATTTTATCCACTTGTTGCTTACCATTGTTAGACATGTTTTGTTAACCGTAGCTGTCTTGACTATTGATTCATTATCTCCATGATTTATTAACACTTTGCTAGCATGTCCATGTGTTTATATCCATGAGAGCGTGTCCACAAGATTTTATTAACGAGATTGTGGCCATAAGAATGTTCCATATTTTCTGATTGTGTCCATTAGATTGTTTCATTAGGTGTGTACTCGTGATTGTATTCATGAGTTTGTCCATAAATCTTCTGTTATGAGTTTTTTCCATGGATATTGTATATATTTGTTTATGTACTTTCTTGTGTAGACGAGATTCTGTCCATGCAAGTCTGTCCATACTATAATGTCCATGTGATCCTGTCCATACGATTCTATCAATGCCCAGTACTGTACATATTATTATGTCCATGCTATTGTGTTGTCCTGTTTCGATGAATCTGTGTGCATTTGTTTGTCTCCATGATAATTAACATCTACACATACATACAATTATTAGTTGGATATGTGGCATTTATTATACTAATGTGACTTTATCCCTTACTATGTGTTTCCCAGCACAAGGTATGGAGTTCGATTAAAATTTTTAAAGAGTATAAAATTAGTTTATTTATAGATAAAAAATCAGATTTTATAATGATTTGAAACATAATTTAATATATTTTTTAAAAATACAATTGTGAGTATATTATCTTATTTTTTTATATCTTTTACATTATCCGATAAAAACTTATATGTATGCTTTGTTGATTTGTTGCATTTATCAAACATGATAAATAATTCTCTTTTTTTTTATGTAAATTGGAAGATTAAGATTAGTAAAATTCAAAGTTTGCATAAAAAAAAACCTAGCAATCCAAAATGATCAAAACCAAATGATCCTTGTTTCATATCAACTTAATATTAATTAATATATATTTAGAGTTTTAAAAGGGTTTAAATGTTTTTGGGTTTTACTTGTGGTCGCATAAATCAATTAGGTTAGTCAAAAATATTAGTAGGTTAAACAATCAAATTAAAATTAGTTTAATGAAATAATTAAAATTTTTTTTTTGATTTATGCTAGTTACTTTTTTAGTAAAATGAATATTTTTATGATATAAAGTCGAATTTGGAAATCTAGATTTAAAAAAAACAAAAATTAATTAAAAATTAAATTATATTAATTTGTTAATTTCGTTAAGGATAATTAAAGTAAATTCACATAATGGGCCAAATGTAATCAACCATCATAACTCTCAACCACAGCCTAACTTGCTTGCCAATTAATAATATGATTTGCAGAAATTGTCTATTAATCTAAATTAGGAAAGCATGTAATAATAAGACAAAATTTTCAAACATTAAAAGCATTCCCAACGGTGCCACCTAACTTCGCTATCCCTTGAAGTATTGAATGCTTGTGGTATTAGATTTTTGGAACAACTTTGGTACAACTTGTAAAAAGATTTAGGCTCTAAACCCAAAACAAAAACAAATCTATGATTACCTGAAAGTTTAACGACTAATGTACACACGCTTTTATTTCTAAGCTCACTTACTCAACACTTTTACAAAATATTTTTATAAGTAAATATTCAGATCCTATATTTTCGGTTGTGTATCTATAAGTACCTAAGATATGACAATAATGATATACAAATTGGATGCTTTAGAGACCTCAGATTAATGCAATTTCTGAAGCACTAGATGATCTAGTTATCAGCATCAGAACATGTCCACAGCTCCTTGTCCATCATAACATATCCACAAACTCGTGTCCATCCAAAACTGTTCAACACAATACATTCCTTTGTTTAACTACATTCTGATCTCGAAGTTTCTCATCTTATATGTTTGTTTCTTTTCATGTATCCGCCACCTCTTATCCACATGAACATATCTATATGTTCATGACATGTTAATAATTTCCAATCTAGATAATGAATAATGAACAACTGATTCCCCCAATTGTGGTTTATTATTTATTGGGCAATAAGTTCTTGTACCAACCTTCTTTACAAAAGTCATTGATTATAAAAAAAAGTATGATCCTAATTTAAGCATTTAAATGAAAGAACGTTAAACAACATGCTTCATACATGTCCATGACAATCTTGTCCATTCAATTGTGTCCATGAGAATATATACGGGTTTAATGAGGCAATAGAGAAATCTTGCTTCATGTAAACGAAAAATCTGCAAACAAAAAAACCAGAAACTTGCAGAAGAAAATCAAAAATTATGAACTCGGAACAACTACTAGCTTCTAAGCTGGCAAAACAAAACTTCTAAGAACTCAATCCAATGAAAGATGTTAATGGCTAAATCCGGATCAGATTGCACATGGAACGTCGCCATTACGTCCATAAGTGAAGCTTTGGGAGGGTGTATGATTCAGATAAATCTGAGACGAATATGAGATAGAATAGAAGTTTTGGAAGCTTTTACAGATTAGAGGAGGATGAGGCGTTGGAGGATCGTCGACAATGATAGTGGCTAAACAAAAAGTCGATTTATTTTTTTTTTTTTAATTTTCTGACTACAGATTAAAAACAGTAAGAATAAAACAATGAATAACTGCAAATAAACCCTTAAATAAATTAAATTTGCAAAATCAACCCTCGTTTGAAAAAAATGAATGTCAATCTATCAACCTCAATATTTTCTTCTTTTCTTTCTCCAGTTTCTAAACTTGTGGATCTGGTGAAATTCGCACTGTGAACATCTCAATTGTTTTAGCTTCGTTTCATGGTTATTGCTTTGTTACACAGGCGGCTCACTTGGGAGATTAATCTGAAATGCCCCTCCATACAACAACAAAATCTGATATGCCCCTTTCATAAAACTCATTTTCTTTTAAATTTATACTTTAAACGAAAACGCGTGAAAAGACGACGAATGGTATAATAAATCCTCTAAATTACCAACCAACTAAACAATAATCAATTGGATTTTAGTCCAAATCTAAATCTAGATCCAACCCAACCTCAGACCCAAACAGAAGCGAAAAACAACTTCTTTCTGTATCAAACCCATAATTTTTGATCAAATCCCTAACTTTTCATCTTCTCCACCACGAACGAAACACGTTCGAAACCGACATCGCACCTCCGAGAAACCACTGTCGACTCTGTTTTTCCGATCTCATGGCGACTCGTAGGAGAGGGGGATCAGTTCCGTTGAGAACGCCTTCGCTAGATCATACTCCGTCGTTGCCGCCGTCGAGTTTAAATCCGCCGGCAAAGAAGAAAACATAGGCGGAGAAGCGTCTGGCGGCACCACGAGAAAAATAGAAGAAGTCGCGGAAGAAATCAAAGCACGGAACTTCCAGTGTTCCGCATCCACCTCCGCCTCCGCCTTCGGCAGGTCTGGTGGCTGAACGAGAAGAAGAAAGTCCGCTGCCGTCAAGTTCAAATCCGCTGGCGAAGAAGAAAACAAAGGGGGAGAAGCGTCCGGAGGCACCGCGAGGAAAAGAGAAAAAGTCGCAAAAGAAATTAAAGCACGGAACTTCCTGTGCTCTGCCTCCACCTCCGCCTCCGACAGGTCTGGTGACTGAACGAGAAGAACAAAGTCCGCCTCCGGTGACTGAAAGAGAAGAAGAAACTATTATGGCTCTGACGGTGCAACCGGCCACCGGCCCGCCTCTGAGTCCAGAACTGGCAATCGGTTCGTCGTCGTAACCACCACTGCTAAACCCTAAATTTTGGGGTCAATGGCTGAAATGCCACTTTTGGAGAAAAACTAATCTCATATGCCATTGTCTTATTTACAATATATTTTTGTTTTTTTTTTAAATCAAAACTAATCTTCCTTTAAATCCTTATTGAATTAGAAATATTACACAGCCCAACCATTCAAACCCTCTAATTCAACTAGAATCCATTTTTTTTTCTTTCAATTATTATCTCATCTTCTTCGTCGGTTCTTATCTATTTTTTTTTTTCATTTCATTGATTCAATCGAAAGAGGAGGAGACGATGAATTTCAATCTTACTACGAACTCGTCACGGATCTGAAGTCTCTCCTCGACACAGATGGCAGCCTCTCCTCAATGGCTTCATCGTTTCTCCGCTGCTTCTCCGCCGCCATGGATGCGCGCTTCTGCTCTGATGTCTCTTCCCTTTCCTTAATCTTCAGTTCCTCAACATAACAGCCTCGGCCTCTACTTGCTCTCTCTCACTAAGGTTTTCCATTTTACTCTTCGTTCTTTGTTGAATTGTATTTTCTGATATTTTTTCTGTACTCTTTTAAAGTTTAGTCCTGTCATTTCTATAGATTCGTGTGAGTTTCTTGGCACATCTCTTATACTGTAAGCTATGCTGCTGTGTCGAGTTTCTTTATTGAATTCTCCGCTTGTTTTTTTAGATTTAGTTCAGCAATGGCTGTTGTAGCAATTTCAGGGCTCTAAATTCTGCAACTTAATTAATTTTTACGATTCTCTCTAGCTTAGGTTTCAATGAATGATGATGTGTGAATTTGTTTTTTGTCCTGACGAGATTTATATTCTTTATGCAGTCTTGCGATGACATATTTGAGCCGAAGCTGGAAGAGCTCATTAATCAGTTGAAGGAAGATGGTGAAGACATGGATGCATAGCTAACTGACCATTCAACTAATCGATTTTCCTCTCTGTCTTCACCATATGATCTATTAAATTTCTTTATTGACATACGAGATTAGCTGCTCACTTGCTTAAGGTCTTTTTTCCTTGTTTTCATCATGTTTGAGTCTTATTAGCTACCGTCTCCTTTTTTTGTAGGAATACTTGGGAGCCTTGATTCAGGAGTTGTGCAAGATGATCAGATTATTTTGGATCCGAACAGCAACTTGGGAATGTTTGTTGGCGGTTGCATTTTGGCATTTAACTTTCTATTGTTCGAGGTATTGTGCTTTTTACATTTTTGTTTTTCTTGTTTTATCCAGCTTAAGATCATATAGTAAGTGTTTGATTTTTATTTAAAGTTTTGCATGATTTTTTGGAGGGTACAGTTTTCCTTCTGTTTGCAGCATGATCCTGTTTGTCGTGTGATTGCTAGCCAACATATTCAAAAGGCAAAAAGATTCAGTCAGTTTCATTGAGTGGAACAAGCAGAATCCAAGTTACATGGCCACCATTTTCATGGACAGTGCTAAAATCGTGGTGTTCAACATTAATTTTGCTAGTCTTTCAATGGTGGAGCTTCAGTAACATCAAGCTATAGAATTTTTTATTTGGATTTTTGTGAAAACTATGAAAAATATAATGTTTGTGAGGTACAACTGAAATAAATATAGTTTGACTGAGTTTGATTGAGTGAGTTTTACGGTTCAACTGAATTTTATTAAATTCAACTGGATTTTATTAAGTACAACGGATGACACAAGTAACAAGATACAACTGAAATACATGGTTCGACTGAGTGAGTTTTATGGTTCAACTGGGTTTTATTAAGTTCAACTGGATTTTATTAAGTACAACGGATGACACAAGTAACAAGGTACAACTGAAATACATGGTTCAACTGAGTGAGTTTTATGGTTCAATTGGGTTTTGTTAAGTTCAACTGGATTTTATTAGGTACAACGAATGACACAAGTAACGAGGTACAACTAAAATACGTGGTTCGACTGAGTGAGTTTTATGGTTCAACTGGGTTTTATTAAGTTCAACTGATGACAAATTATGGTTTTTCATAATTGTTTAATTTTTTTTAATAAAAATTGAAGCATTTTCTCTCTCATATCCTCTCTCGGAATCGTCTCTCTCGTCTCCTCTCTGGGAATCGTCTCTCTCGTTTCCTCTCTCAGAATCGTCTCTCTCATCTCCTCTCTCGGAATCGTCTCTCTCGTCTCCTCTCTCGGAATAGTCTCTCTCTCCTAATCTCTCTCTCTCTCTCTCTCTCTCTCTAAGTCGAAGAAACAAAAAAATAAAATTAGGGTTTTGAAACATTTGGGAAAGTGGACTTTTTGAAAATAAAATTAAAATATTGCAAATTCTTCCTGCTGGCGGAAAACTTCCCGCTGGCGGAAAACTGAAAATTTATTAAATTTTCCAAAATAAATTGAACTTAGTTGTCCTCAAGCAAGCACTTGAACCAAATTCCTAATAGTTGTACTTTTGCAATTTTATTGTATTTTCTAGTTGAATATTCCCATAAACTATTATGGTGTAGTTGTACAAATGATTTTGGACCATTAAACATCATTTTCAACGTTTTCATAGTATAATGTATGAAGAATTTACTATTTTGATTTTTTTAATCCTAAAAGGCTTAACAATATTGATATCTTCCTTATATTGTAAGGGGTGGTTGATGTGAAAACATGATATTGTATCAAAATAAAAAAAATTAATATTCTCTATATTAGTAATTATTTCCTTATAGTTGAAAATGTGTTTATAGATCTTAATTAGTTGTTTCACATCACTTGTAGCTTTAATAACTGTTTAGTTCACTTCCAAAGTTGATATTAGTTGTACCCAGTTGCACCCAGTTGCACCTGCTGGTGCAATTTCAAGAAAAACACAAAATTATTAATAATTATACCTAGTTGCACCGGGTGGTGCGATTTCGAGAAAGGCAAACGCACAAACGTTAATATTTGTACCCAGTTGAACCTAAAAGTGTGAATCAGAGATGACAAACACATAATCGTTAATAGTTGTACCATGTTGAACCTATAAGTACGAATTCGAGAAAGACGAACATGTAATTGTTCATACGTGTACTCAGTTGTACTTGGTAGTGCAAATCAGAGAATGAGAAACACATAAACGTTAATAGTTGTACCCAGTTGAACCTAGAAGTGCGAATTCGACAAAATAAAACTCAGAATTATTCATACTTGTACCTAGTTAAACCTGATCATACAAATTCGCCAAACTGAAACACATATAGATTCATAGATGTACATAGTCTAACATGGTTGTACAAAACCGAGAATTACAAAACACACACACACACAAATCAAACTGCACTGCAAAACATATGCTATTAATCGTGGGATGCCTTTCCTTCTACGAGAGCATATATGCATCTTTTTGTATACTCTTAACACTGAAATCATCCGATTTCTTAAACCTTGCAGCTTGTAAATACCATTTACAGCCTTGGGTCTTCTGGCGGCATTCTAGAATAAGTCACTCTATATCTGACTTATAAGTATGGACCCCAAAACAGTTCTTATGTGTTGCTCTGTCAACCATATCTTCCTACATATCTTATCTAATAATGTCGAGTAAGTTATCTTCTCTAATGATAAGTTCGTAAATGGTATATCATATGTGGAATTACTTGTAAACCATTTCAACTCCCCTTCATCATATAGCATAACTCCCTCCATAGTCAAAATATATGTTTGTGTGGTTGGTACTCATGCTCTCCTGAAAATATAAAGAAAATAGTTGATCAGTTGGACTCAATTGAACTCAACTGAACACAAAGTACCACAGTTAAACCAGTTGAACTCAGCTGAACTACATTGAACTCAGTTGTACCAGTTGAACTACACCTCTCATTTGTACCACTTGTACCAGTTAAACCCAATTGAACTCAGTTGTACCAGTGCAACTATACCTCACATTTGTACCAGTTATACTAGTTGAACTCAGTTGAACTAAAGTGAACTCATTTTACCAGTTGAACTACACTTCTCATTTGTACTAATTGAACTCAACTGAACTAAATTGAACTCAGTTGTACCAGTTGAACTATAGCTCTCATTTGTACCAGTTGAACTTAAGTTTTCAGTTGTTACAGTTCGCTCTTAGTTGTACCAGTTGTACCAGTTGTACCATTTTTCCTATCAAAAGTCTGGGAATTTCGAGCTCGAGTTTCGTTGTTCTGCATATGAATCTGATTAACATAACCATGTTCTTCTCACAAATTACCAAACATTTTGTCTAGATACTCGGCAGCAGATGGATATTTCATCCTGAAAGCACTATAGAGTTTTCCGAACTCAACCTCTGTATAAGCTTTAGCGCACTCGATGAACTTCTTTGCACATGCATCTCTGTGGGTAGCAACGTGTCCTTTCACATTCTCGTACAAATGCCTTACATAATACCCATGTTGAGACAAAGGGAACACTTCCCTTATTGAATTGATCAAGCTTGGATTCCTAACAAACACCATTCCAGGGACATCTGGTGTTACTGACTTCAACTGATTCAGAAACCACGTCCAACTTGCATCTTTCTCACCATCAACTACACCAAAAGCAATGGGATCAGGATCCTGAGCTGAAGCAACGATTAGAACTCCACCATATACGTTCTTCAGGTGGGTTATTTCTATAATGATGACTTTCCTCATCGATAGGAATATTTCTATGCAAGCTCCCAATGCAAAGAATAGGTACTTAAACCTTTTCTGCTTATCTAATTACACACAAGTCCGTGTACCCGGATTCACTTTCTCTAGCATGTAAAAATAAGAATACAGCCACCGACAACTCTCCTTATAACTTCCCTGCACCTCATTAGCAGCTTTGTTTTTTCCTCTCAGCGCTGTCGAGTATGATACTTTCACGCCAAGTCTGCCTTGAACCATATTGATCAGCGTTTTTGGATCTGGTGTGTCAAATCGACCTGGATAGTCTTCAGCCAAAACAGCAGCAACTAAGTGTGGTGTGCCTTTCCTTTTTTGTCTGATTGTACTTATAGTAACCCGAGAGCATGTGTGCACCTTGTTGTAAGTGACAATAGTGAAACTATTTGAGTTCATATGCACAAAAGCTCTTAAACCCCACTTGCATCCCTCTTTTGCTCCCCAACATTTTTCCATGAAACGTGTGGGTTCAGACTTCTTCGTTTCATACTCAAAACCATTCTCATGTGCACCTTTCTGCAGGAGAGCTTGTAGTCCTTGCCTAGTGTCAAATTCTTGACCTTTATATATATCTAAACCATCTTCCCATCCATGATTTACTTGCGAGTTTCCATCAGAATGTCTGACCTCCGTATCATCATCATCATCATACAAGTGCTCATATCTTTGTACATGATCTGTATCATTTTCTTGCATCTCATTGTCTTGCATTTCATAGTCCGGTATTTCTAAACCATCTCTAGCGGTAGAAAACAGCTCATCATTACTTGGACCTACATCAGCGTCAACTCCATGATCCTCTCTTGAAACATGCACGCTTCCATGACTTTGATCAACATCCTTGATGAACTCCACATGTAGAACACTTCTACATTGATCTTTACTCACTTGTAGTAGATAACCAAAAACATTTTCGTCATTCCAAATATATGATGGTTTCTTCGTGTTCAAGACCAATGGATAGTAACTAATTTTTAGCTGAGATGTAGCTGCATCTATCAAAACCTTTCTGCAAATTCCCTCCACTAATCCAACATAAGTGACATCCTCCAAAAATTTTCTAATCACTAACGTGTGAATCTCATCTTCTACAGAATTCCATATAATTTTATCACCGTCTTTTGAATAGAATCCCCCATAATCAAAACATATGACTGTGCAACCACTGTTACTCATTTCCCCTGAAAAGAACAAAACAATCGTAAGGTAATCTTATCATAGTTATACCAGTTTTCCTAGTCATACTAATTCACTTAAGATGTCCAGTTATGTTAGTTGTACCCAGTTGTACCCAGAAAGTTTGGTTCATCCTAGTCGTACTAATTCACTTAATATGTCCAGTTATGCTAGTTGTACCTAGTAGTACCCAAAAAGTTTGGTTCATCCTAGTCGTACTAATTCACTTGATATGTCCAGTTATGCTTGTTGTAACCAGTAGTACCCAGAAAGTTTGGTTCATCATACGAATAATCACGATTTATTACGATTCATTGCTCAGTTAACCAAGATATCCCATTTAATTAACAATATCAGTTTCTAATAGCCTTACCCAACTAGCTCAGTGACTCC